GTTTTAACATAATTCACACAATTTGATTTACTTTTTCTATCATTTTTGTACGTTGTGAAATTTCCAAATTTTGCAAGTCACTGTTGAAAAAATATTAAGAATAATTTTAGAATTTAAATTTTTTTATGATGATCAGACAATTACATTTTTCTTTTTTATATATATTCAATCAATCATATTGATTGATATTCATTAATATACCGATTTTGCTTTGATACTTGTTACCATTTGTAGCTATAAATCATAAAAAAAAACAGTGAAACTAAACAAAGATTTATCAGTGACCTACAACCTGATCTATTATAATGGCTTCATGTCAGGCTAAGCAATAATATTTTTCCAAGGAGTATTCCTGATCAAAATCAATTGACATTTTATGAATTTTTAAAAAAAAATAAATTGCTCTTTCACTTATATGCATTGTTTGTATATAATCATATTCAATAAACAAGGATTTAAGACAGAATATTTTGCCATTGCCTACTGTATTCCTTAAACTTAATAAGGCTTTTGTTTTGTTTTTTAAGTACATGTTCTTTATTCTTGTACATTTTAAGAAAAATAACTAAAATTTAAGCACTTGTAAATAAATAATAACACTGTGTATAAATACTTATATAATGTATGGTAGCCAAAATTTCCATATTTTTCACAAATTCCTGGTATTATAGATAGATATCTGTACTATGACTTTGTAGGCCCATATAGTTATGCCTACTGAATTTCTATTATTCTTCTAATTGTCTAAATTGAAGTAAAATAAAAACAATTTATGCAACATTAGAAGCTTGCAACCTAAAAAAGGTTTATTCATAACATTTTAGAAAGATACAATACTTTACAAATGTCTGCAGAATTCACAAATGGTATACATCTCTAAAATGAATAGTATACCTACAAATTGCGTGAAACAATATCAAGTTATACACATTCTAACATACCAAAATGTACACAGATTTTAACACATAATAAAACGAACAACCAGAACAAAAGGATCAACAATGGGGGGAAAAAAATACTTTATGTTGTGCACAGGAAAAACTGTATCAATGTAAAGCAGATTTACATAGGCAATTTACTACAAACATTTTAGACATTGTAAACTGATTTTGACACATGAAAGGTAGCATCACTACTGTATGAATAACAAAAGAAAACTTTACAAAATATTTCAGTCAAAATTCAATGAAAAAAGCAAACACTGCTGTACATTGAAATACAAACATTAAAATCTTTAAAAAAATAGATAAATTTGTAAACAAAGGAAGATAGCAGACACTTTTAGATAAAGAATTAACTTTTGAAGGGTAACACTAGTGTGATATTTCTCAAAATTTTAAATACAGAGAAATTCATTAGACATTTTATTGTTACTTTATTTTCTGAGAGGCACAGTCTGCATCTCTTCCTGTGACTTCTATCAACAGTTCTTAGGAAGTGCCTGCCAAGAGAGAGTCTCAGAGGTGATGAGTCCTGTAAAGTCCTAGAGAGTGGTATACCAGAAGGACCTGGTCTGCTTTGAAGTAGATGCTCAATGACAGCTGTGACCAGGTCCGTTATGAAGGCCTTCTGGGATAATGCTGGTTGATTGGTCTGTTGTTTGTACAAAATGTAAGTATTTACAACTGTTAAGTCCAAAAGTCAAAAAACATTTTTTTAATACCATTTTATTGTCCTACATCCAGTAAGATAGTAACTTAAGTGTTAGTTGTTCAGGTTCATCCTTCCCATAAACTTGTAGTCCACAATTAAGTGAGGTTTTGTAACCTCAGCATCCCTACCTCTTCTTGTCACAGTTTTTGTAGTGTTAAGAGTGTAAAGATGAAAGTGTATAAATGACTCGTTTGTCAGTCCACTTCACAGCTGTCAGAGTTCCACATTTAAAAGAATTGTGCTTCCCCTCTCTGTATGTTTGTAGAAACAAGTTGTTGTGGTAAATACAGTCTGTCTTTCCTGCATATACCACAAGTATAGCTTCCCATAGTCAGTAGTTTGTCAAATAAACGAGGAGGAGTGTAAAAATTTCCATGAAAACCCAGTGTCCTATTCTGTTGTACTTGCCAATCAATTCTATCACAACGTTGTCTGCTAAACCTTTAACTGGCATTTAACCCTATTTACATGTGTAGATTTTAAACTTATCCACTCACAGCTTCTGCTAGGACCCACAGGTTTCTTTGGTAAATACTGGTGAAAACCAATTCTGCATTTTGTGCCCAACATCTGTTCATCTATAGTTAGTTTTCCGTTAGGAGAGTGGCAAACAAAAGACTTTAGTAGACAGTCTGCGATAGGTCTAGCCTTAAAAAGTTTATCATAGTTAGAGTCAGTTCAAGGAAGAGCATAAGTATTGTTACTGAAATGTAAGGAATTGTGAATAGCTAAAAACATGTCCCTAGATAAGACGTTAGTAAACCAAGGATTAAGGAAAGGAAGACAGGTAGACCAATAGTCAGAAAGACAAGGATAAGACTTTAGTCCCATTGTTAAAGTTAAACCTAAACATGTAAAAATTTCATAAAGTGTAATATCAGTCCATTTTACTCTATTTTTTGGTAGTCCACCTTCTTGCTGTGCCTGTTTATGATTTGCATACTGATTTGTTTCATTCACAATTATATTTAAAGTTTCTACACTAAATCAAAGTTTAAAGAAGTCAATAGTTTTATTTGAAGAGGTGACACGTCTGGACACAGGTTTATCTCTGTTGAATGGAGGCATGTTTAATTGCTCCTCCTTCTGGGAAGAGGCAGTCTTAGTTCACACTGCAGCTCTACCCTTTTCCTTACCCCTGCCTCTTTTCTATGGGGGTTGTGGTGATGGTGTTTGTCTTGATGTACCTGGCCTGGGTGGTTCCAGTACATCTTCATCTGATGATCTTACAGAATCAAGAAGAGCTGGTTCTACTTGAGGTCATCTTGTTTTATACACTGATTCTGTCAGTAGCATTGCAACAGAAGCATCAGCTTCCTCAACTGCCGATTCCCCCAACAGACTGCCTCGTTCATCAGAAGAGAAAGACACATTCAGTAAAAACTGCATCTCTTCCTCATTAAGAAATTTTTTCTTTCTCAATTTCTGGAATTTAGCTTTTACCTCTCTTTTAGCTTCCATTTCTAGAAGAAAAAAATAACATGACATATATATTACATATCATGTATTCTCTGTTGTGTATCATTATTATGTGTATTATATAACGTTTCTTAGTTCTTTACATGTGTGTATATATATATATCTTTTGTGACATTTATCTTAGATTTCAGAAGCAGTACATTTTATGCTAAAATACAGAAATAGCTACAATAGATTTTGGTCAACAACTACATACTAAAACTATTGAACACAGATTCCAGATGTATTATAAAAAATAATTACTTACTTCTACGCAAGTCAGTAGCAAGGAATATGTTTCTTGCAGAATGTATTCACTTTGTAGCAACTCATCTATGTCTTCCAACAAAGTATTGCAAAATAGCCAAAGTCAGAGTGCTTGATTTAATTTGAATGCTTGTGAAACAATAACAGGATTTGAAACCTGAATTTTTATTGGTTTATGAATAAGTTTGCTGAAAGAGAAATGGGATTTCACAACCATGTACACCAATAAAATCTTTGTACACCTATACAGTATACTGCTAAATTTCTAACATCTCATAAGAATTACTAATATTCAAAGAATTACAATGTTTATCGTATTGGCACCAAACCATATAACGAACATTTTGACAGATTCAAAGTGCAGTGCTATTACTCTGGAGAATTCTTGTTGTAAACACTAAGATACATACATAAGCCAATAAATTCACATTCTGTGTCCAGTATAAATGTTTTCATTGATTCTTAGTGCAGTGTGATTACTCTGGTTAAATTTCCTTGTAAACACTGTCAGATATATAATCCAATATAATCCCTGTTCTCTGAGCAGGGGTCAAGTTGGCTATCCCTTTGCACGTGCTTTGTTGCTTTCAGAGATATATTACAGTGTCATGTAAACAGTCTACTGACAGAAGCAGTAATTTATTGCTTCATTTTCACCAGATTTCTATTTCAGTCGTTGACATTAAAATAAGCACAGAAATTAAATGTGAAATGTTTAGCAGCTCAAACTCTCAAGAGAAGTACTTTGAAATTTCGTGAACAATAAATCACGAAAAAGGGCACAGCTGCTCATTTTATTTGTGATTTTACAACTATTCATTATACCTTGGTTATTTGTCTACTGGCTGAAGAATAAAATATACTGTTAGGGTAAAGGTAGATGAAATATAAATTTTTATAATGAAATGTTCTGTATTTATTTAAAAGGTTTTAACAAAAATACTTCGTTAAAAAACTTTTTTTTTGTTCATACAAACAATGTGCAATGTTTACTAAAAGTCTGCCAAATTTTGTGAAGATACACATAGTGAATTAAAAGTTATAATATTAAAATTATATAAAAATAAAAATGGTTACGTGGTTGATCCCTGGGGACCGAGCCCGTATTGAGAAAGTTAACTACATGCAAGACTTATATACCATAACAAAGATATATTCTTTACTAATTATGGATGAGTAAAACTTAAACATTTTTCTAATCATTGCAATAATTACTAGCCTTAGTAATAGATTGAAAAAAAGTTCCATCCACAGGATGTTTACTGTACCTGCTAACTTCGTTCTACATACCACAAAACGTTTTTAGACAAAGAAGAAAAGAAATACTTAATATTTTGATGCTGGTGCTATATGCAGAGAGTTAAGTTAATCTAACATGCTCAAATTACTTTTTTTTTTTTGTAAAGTATTCTATACTCAAAGTTGATATTCAAATGAAACTAAACCAATAATATTTGCTTTTCTATTGCTAGCTGTTTAAATGTAATATCAAAAACAACAAAAAAAGAAATGAACATGTTCCATCAGCATGTTCTGCTGATAAAAACATCTACATAGGATCCCAAAAAAAATTTAGTCTCTCAAATGAGGGAAATATAAAGAAACTAATATATCACAAACAACTTTCTTCTCATTTTTAAAGGATGCTAACAAAGCTTTCTAATTTTTAAGCAACATATCTAGTGCATTTTTCATTTCAAATTTGGCTACAAGAGCTTCATGTTTGATTTTAAGCACAAAGCTTCAAATAAGCTACCTTTACTGTGCCCACTGTTGATACTGAAATCCAATTTTTAGTGTTATTAAGTCCTCAAACTTAAATCTAAACCACACCTGGGGGCATCTACAAGAGCTAATCCCTTTAAAAATATTCCTACATCATTAAAGGATTTATAAATTACCAGGTATAACAAGTCTCGTGCAAAAAACTGTCCACAGAAGCTACTTACCTATTATTCTCTGAAGAATGTTTTCTATAATAGATTTTTAAACTATTTGCATTTTATGTCTCTTGTACAAAGTATTATTTTAACTTTAATTTCTCTTCTGAAAAATTTCTTCAATAAATTTTTTATCTTTTTGTAACTGATACATTTAAGTTTCTTACCTAAGGAGAGAAAGTACCAAAGTTTGTTTTTTCTTATAAAATTTCTCTTCAAAATAAAAAAAGCTTTCACCTGAAGAACATTTATTGGTGTCAGCAGAATTCGTGCAACATCTAAAGCAACATTGCCATGTCCTACAATCATTGCCGTTTCAACATCTAGGTTTGGAGAGGTGTACATATCTGCTGGTAAACCGTTGTACCATCCAACAAACTTCCGTGCAGAGAATACATTAGAAAGATTCTAAACATAAAGTAAAAATGTTTATGTAATGTTTTTTTGTTGTTTTTTGATGACTTTTCTGCTTCATGGCATTTCTAAAATATTTTTAGGCTTAAATTACAAGTATTATTGTAGAAAGAAAGTCACTATTTGCAAAAGAAAACTGATTATTAAACAAGTTTGACAACTAATCTTTTAATGACATTACATTAAAACAAAACAAAAAAACACTGATTATACAAAAAAAATTCTTTTAAATCTTGTCATTTCTAATTAATAAGTACATCCTCTATTTATTATTAATATCTAAGTAAATTAATGCTAATAACGTTTCATATGGGTGTTACTTTAAATAAGACCTTTGATGTGATTTTTTTTTTTTAATCAAACATGATATACTATGCTCTACACAAAATAAAAACAAGTCTTCAGTTTGTTACAATTTGTTACTCATACATAATGTACTGTATTATACAACAGATAACTTAACTTTGTCATATTTAAAAAAATACTGTCATGTTAGAGAGAATTTTATCCATAGATATCAGTCATGTGACACTACTACACAAGATAGAACCTTGCATTGTGAAAATGATTTTAAAAAAGGGCTAAACATTAATAACAAGAAATAATAGTTAGAATAATAAATTCTATAACATTTATTGATCCTTCATTCTTGTCTTGAACCACTCATTTCATTCAAGACAAGAATGGAAACCTTTTATTGGCTCTTAGTGTTAATGTTATCCCTCTTCCCATTTCCAAAACACTGAAATTCTTCCAAGTGCAGCTTCTTTAAGTATCATAAATGCCCAAGATGAAATATTGCTGATAACATATAAAGCTACTTTAAACCTTAAAATTTACTTGGACATGTAAATCAAAATTTAAAGCATTCATTTTAATATAACAGACAGTCAGTGGATGTAAAAACACCTTCCAAAATTTTCACTATATGATGATGATACTCAAATCTCCTGTGAAAGTATATTACCAAAGTTTCTTCAGCACCTCAATCAATCA